AAAGTGTATTGAGCTTGATGTTGAATAAGATAGAAGGTGAAGTTGATAAAAAAAAAAGGTTGAAAAACATGTTTAGTATTCACCCCACCATCCATCATAGAAAGAAATATGTTTGGGGTGTAATGTTGTGAAAAAAAAGAATAAAATAAAATAAAATGTTTGATAAAAGAAAAGTTGAAGATTAAAGAAAAAGGTGTTACTTGGAGGTTGAATTTTACAGCTTTATATAGGTCTTGGAATGATTACGTGCTTAGGGTGATTTTAGCCACATTAATATCCTCTATTCTACCTTTACCCTAGCCTTACATTACAAGCCTAATAAAGACTTATGATCCTTGACTTAATATTAGTCTACATTAGTGGAGAGAAAAATGAAAAGAAAACCTATGGGATTCTTGAACTAATTCAGAATTTTGCATTGGCATAAATTTATTTGGATTGCAAGATATTTTTTGTAAAAGATTGCACATACACACACGAAAATCCATTTGAGAATGAGCTAGCATTTGAATTGAACATGAAATTGAGTGATATTTATGTTTTGCCTTGAGTTGTGATTTAGAGGTAACTTTTAAGAAGATTGTGGTTAATCATTGATTTGACGCAACCTATCTCTAGCTAGTTGTTTTTCTATAACTAGTTGTTTCTTCATTAAAATTGTTTTTATCATTTATATGATTTTGTTTTGTTTAGTTTTTCTTTCAAAATTTTGCCCAAGGACTAGCAAAAAATTAAGTTTATGGGTGTGATAACTCTATTACAAAGAGTTATTTTGCCACCTTTTGAGTACTAAATTAATTAAACTCCTAAAATTTAGGTTTGAAATTAGGAATTTTTAGTTATTTTTCATAGTTTAGTTTAAATCTTGATAAGTTATTTTAATTTAAGTTATTTTAGTTTAATTTTATGTTAAATTTCTTTTAGTTTAGTTTTTACTTATTTAGCTTATTGCTTTTGAAAGTTCTCAAATGAAAAGACCGCAATTAGTGATGAAGAGAGCAAGTATGGTAGTGCTTCTTTTATACATGCTACAGTATTTCGATCATAACTCTTATCTCAGAAGTCCATGATGTAATTCTTAAGTCATTAGAAAGCTACGAGCCAGGGTTTCAACTTTCATGTTTATCACTTTTTCCAGTCTGGCCCAAATCAAGGAGAAAATCATGTCACAAGATGGAGTAGTGCAATAAAGACAGCAAAAGGCAAAATGGAGACTTTGGGCCCTATGACACCATGAGGAGAAAAGACCTCATTGTGCTATCTAAGAGCTGAAGGCCAGGTTTCAGGAAGCCAACACTGTCAGTGCCGTGAAAAGAAGAAATGACATACATCCACCCGACTTTAGGGCACTGTGACACCACTTCAATATCCTAGTTTTCCTTTTCCGTGTTTTGTTAGATTTAGGTCTTTTTGAAGGCTATAAAAAAGGACTTTCAGAGCAATTGAAAAGGAGGTTTTAACTAGTTTTTCTCTGAAGAAAAGTGGCCACAAAACAATCAAGAAAGCACGAAAGGTTGTGCAAGATTGAAGATTGAAGATTGAAGATTTGAAAAATCTTCAGGTATCAATATTTTTGTTCAAAGTTTGAAGGTATCTATAATTCATTAATCAAATGCATTTTTGGGTTTCAAGTATCGATACCCTATGAATAGGTATCAATATTTTTGGTCCAAAATGCAGTTTTTAAGACTAAAATCAAAGCATTTGACCCTTTCTACGTCCCAAATTTCAAATAAACTCATTAAGCAATCAAAACATCCATTTTTGGGTTGTAAACATTCAAAAATATCATTAGAAAACACAAATCTACATGCTCACCAAGCTAAGTTACAACTTTAAACTTTTATTCAAGGTTGGGTTTTCACATTATAAGTTCTAGTAGTTTAGTTGAAAACATACCTAATATATGTGAAAATTAGGCTATATGCGGTTTGCGTCGATTTAGGAATCAGGCAAGGCTACAATTTCCTTTGAATAGCTATAAAATAGTAACTAAAAAGCTAAAATTGGTCCACATTGATGTATGTGGACCTATGATTATTGAATCACTTAATGATAGTGGGCACTTTTTGTTGTTCATTGATGATTTCACTAGGATGACCTACGTTCATTTCTTAAACCACAAATCAGAAGTGTTTGAAGCCCGTCAAGTGTTTAAAGTAATGGTAGATAATGAATCAAGGTGTCTAATTAAGATTATACAGTTTGACAATGGCTTAGAATACACCTCACATGAGTTTAGAAGGTTTCCTAACAATGTCAGAATTAAACAGCAATTTATAGTTCCATACTCACCCAATCAGAATGGAGTGAGCAAAAGGAAGATTAGAATTGTTTTAGAGATAACCAATGCATGCTATTTGACAAGGGATTGCCTAAAAGGTTCTAGGTCTAGGTAATTAACACTACAATCTATATGTTAAACCTTCTTCCAACTAAAGCTCTTATAGGCAAAACACGATTAAAGCTTCAAATGGCTTCAAACCTAATGCTAGTTACTTGAAAGTGTTTGGTTGCACTTGATATGTGAAACTTCTAGAGGTAAAAAGGTACAAATTGAACCACAAGACAAATCCTGGAATTTTGCTAGGCTATGACGCTCAATCAAAGGGGTATAGAGTGTGCTATGTCAGAATAGGCAAAGTCGCAATATGTAGAAGTGTAGTGTTTGATGAGAATGCAAGATGGAATTAAGAAACAAATGAAGTAACTAATGCGCAACTACCTTTATCAATCAACAAAAACTCACCTATAGCTAATGATGCACCGTAATCAAATTCTAAAGACATTGAAGTTCCTAGAAGAGGCATAAGGACATCATAGGCATTTACACAAATGTAATCTTACTTTTGTACAGTTAGGAAATTATCTTGAAACCTCAAAATCGAAGGAGTGGATGTTTGTAATGCAAGAAGATATTAGTGTGATAAACAGAAATTGTACATGGACTCTAGTTGATAGGCATATCATTAACATGTAATAGGGGTTAAGTGGATTTATAGACAAAAACTCAATCCTGATGGTTTAGTTGATATATTCAAGGCAAGGTTGGTGGCCAGAGGTTACACAAAACATGGAGACCTTTGCTCTTATTGCTAGGTTTGACACTATCATACTGTTGGTTGCATTATCAGCATGCTTAAGGTAGAAAATTCACCATTTAGAAATTAAATTACCTTCATAATGGTTCACTTGAAGAAGAAATCTTCATTGGACAGCCATAGAGCTTTGAAATGGAAATTGAAAGTGAAAAGGTCTACAAATTGCATAAGGTGTTGTATGGATTAAAACAAGCATGGTACAATGAGATAGATGCCTATTTGACTCAATAAGGATTTGCAAAAAGTCCTAATGAAGCCACACTTTATGGTTTGAAGTCAAAAAATAGTGTCAAGTTAATGGTGTCTCTGTATGTGGATGACTTGTTCATAACAAGAGGTGATGAGACCTCATTATTGCATTTTAAAACTTCAATGATGTAAGAATTTGAGAAATGAGGAAAATAGAGTTCAAAAGTGGATATTATAACATGAAAAAAACCTAAGAGATAATTGGCTTTCTATACAGGAAAAAAATAACTATTTGAGAACATTAAATACATATTACCATTAGTTGATTGAAATATTACCATTAGTTGATTGAAAATAAGAGAAATAGTTCAGAATTAATAGTATTGTGGGAATTGAGAAGTGATAAAAAATTGAGATTCATTAGGCACATAATTAACGAACTGAGAATATATGTCTTTTTATTAATTATCTCGACTTTTACCTATTTTTAATAAACAAATGAGATAAATAGTTGAGAATTAATAAAGATGCTAGAAGTGAGAAAAAATAGATATTTGTTCGGTAATTAATTTAATAAGTGAGAGAATATGTAGATATTTTATTAATTTTCTTAATTTTTATATATTTTTAATATAATTAATTATATTATTATAAAATTATAAGGACTATGAAAACCTTAGACCTAAAGCAAGGGCTTTGGTGACTTTATAATATAACCAACCCTACTTGTAAAAACTACACGGCCTGCAAATAAGCAAATGTTTGCGTATGCTGATGCTGAACTAGAAGATGCAACACAATACAGAAGTTTAATTGGTAGTTGTTGTATTTGTGTGCTGCAAAGAGATGATCTCATGTACACAGTGAGCATGCTTTCCAGGCTTATGCAACAACCTTCTCAATTGCACTACAGCAATGCAAAAAGGTGTTTAGGCACCTAAGAGGTACAGTTGCTTATGGTATTCACTATAAACATCAAGACACTGTGAAGCTCATTGGATATTCAGACAATGTTTGGGCAAGCTCTGCATCAAGGTATGTCTTCTCATTGGGAAATGGTGTCTTTAGCTAGAACTCAAAGAAACAAGATGCTGTGGCTCAATCATCAGTTAAAACTAAACTACATACCAATTGCTAATCAAGCCATTTGGTTTAGGAAAGTGCTATTGGATCTCAACCATCCACAACTCAACCCTACAATGAACTATGTTGATATTAATTCTGTCATTGCAATCACAAAGAACCTAACAGGACATTAATGTCAAATTTCATGACATAAGAGATACTGAGAATTCTGCTGAATTACATGCAGGGTATTGCAGTTCTAATCACCAATTACCAGACGTGTTAACTAAAGGTCTCATCAAGCAAAAGATTTGAAGAATTAAGAACAAAGCTAAAGGGTCTTCTAGGTAATGAAGACCATAGCAGAACCCTCATGCACATGTTGGTCCTTTGTCATTTTGTGATTGCTTCTTGTAACATTTCTGCAAGTGCATACAACCTATGAATGCAAAGAATGGATGTTTAGCTTCTGTACAACATCGTTTTTAAGGACTTATGTCGACTGTGAACCTTATCGTAGATCTACAAAATGCATTATTTGCAGCACTCAAGAGCCAAGCATATCTTCAGAAAGTAAAATCAATTCATCAACAGATTTTCAAAAAAAAAAGTAAAAGAAGAAAAGCAACAGCAGTGTCACTGAGGTATCCAGGAATATATAAAACATGCATTATGCAATTGGATCATTAACAATGGTCCCAAAACAGATCCATTCCAAATGCATCTATGATTGATGCCTAGGAGAAACCATTTTATTTTTTGAATTCACCTTATAAGCCTCTACAAGATCAGCTCTACTAATACTAGTACCACTAGCTGATTCACTCTTGGCTGAAAAACCAGCCACGTTACAGCAGTAAAAAAAATGCACAAAAGACAAAGCTGTGCAAAATTAAGCTCAAGCATCATCAAGAGCAAGCACTCCAGGGAGTGGTTTTCCCTCAAGAAGCTCTAAGCTAGCACCACCACCGGTAGAGATGTGGCTCATCTTGTCTGCAAGCCCAACCTTTTCCACAGCTGCAACAGAGTCACCTCCTCCAATGATTGTTGTCACTCCCTTGCTGCTGAGCTCAGCAAGCTTCTTGGCAATCACCTGCATAGAAAAAGAAATTTTACTTCCAAGTTTAAACATGCAAAAGAAAATGCTTTCAAATCCTGTACTCCGAACCACTGGCTAATCTCGATAATGCCAATAAAATCTAGGAATTATGACCAAATTAAGACCAGACTCCACCTCATGACCACCTTTTTTCTAAAAGTAAATCACTCTTTACCTCTGTGCCTGCAGCAAACTTCTCAAACTCAAACACACCCATGGGTCCATTCCAAATTATGGTCTTGGTAGTGTCCAAAGCCTCACTGAAGGTTTTGATGGAGTCAGGTCCTATATCCAAGCCCATCCAACCATCTGGAATCTCAGATGCTGAAACCACCTGCGAAAAAATTGAAAAATTCAAAGGCCGAAACAAGTTCAAATATGAATAAAAAAAAACCACTGCTACAGAATTCCGCATAGATATTGCACTAATGTACACTCTGCATAAGAGTTGGGGAAGGGCACAGAGAAGAAAGAGAGAACAGGCTCATTTGTTGTGTGGGATAGAGCTGTAAAATTAGGTCTCACTGCAATACAGTCCACCCAAAGAATTTCATAGAACAAACATAAATACAAAGCAGCAGCACAAACCTTGCTGTTAGCATCTGGAGCAAACTTGTCAGCAATAACAACATCAGTGGGAAGCAAGAGAGACACCCCTTTTGCCTTGGCCTTCTCAAGGAGTGATGTTGCTAGATCAAGTTTGTCTTCCTCCACAAGTGATGATCCAACAGAATATCCTTGGGCTTTGTAGAAAGTAAAGATCATTCCTCCACCCAGTAAGAGAATGTCAACCTTGGCCAAGAGGGATTCGATCACTCCAATCTTTGTTGACACCTTAGAACCACCGACAATTGCAGCAAATGGCTTCTTGGGATTGGCCACAGCTCCAACAAGATAATCAAGTTCCTAAAAACAGAGAACAAGTAAACATGTCAAATATATCCAAAACAAAAATTGGAAACTTAGTATTGTATGTTCTCTACATGCTTGAACAAATCAAAAAAATAGCTATCTTATGTTCTCTACACACTCGAACAAAGACCGAGATAGACAAAGCTCCATACAGAATATGCATCATCTAGGCATAGACCATCAGACCACATAACAAAAACTCAATCTCGCAAGCTGTTAAATAGAATCTACATAACACCAATTTCCAATAATCAAAATGCGTCATAATGAAGAACACAATTCTTAAATCAATCTGCTAGACCACACAAGAATGGGACTTGATTTTCACATTAATGTTATTCATAATACCTTCTGCATAAGAAAACCAGCAACAGAAGGTTTTAAAAATTTTGCAACGCCCTCTGTTGATGCATGGGCCCTGTGAGCCGTGCCGAAAGCATCATTCACATAGACATCTGCAAGAGAAGCTAGCTTCTTTGCAAATTCAGGATCATTTTTCTCTTCCTCTTTGTAAAACCTCACATTCTCAAGCAGCAATACACCACCATCTGGAATTTCTGCCACCAGCTTCTCAACTTCTGCACCAATACAGTCATTTGCCATTTTAACCTGTCACATGAGAAAAAGAAAATGTTAAATAGGAAAATATATAGCAAATAAAACCCTGAAGAGCATAAAGTGTTAGTTTCAAGGATAAACCTCGACTCCAAGGAGTTCAGATAGCCTTGGCACAAGAGGCTTCAGGCTGTACTTGGGAGTGACACCCTTTGGGCGTCCCTGATAAAGACATCAAAAAAATCTTCTTAGAATTTCAACCTGAGAAAAAGTCCACAACATAAAAATAAAGGAGCCAGAAAGTATGCAACAAAAAAATAAAGAAGCAAGAAAGTCTGCACATAGCACAATTGCCCAACTATTCTTTATAATTCACTTATTGCACATTTTTTTATAATTCACTAGCCCTGAGCAAAATTTTTTTGTGTCTTCAGCCAACTAAAAGCACACTAACACAAGTTGAAGATAAGGGTTAAAGGAAAAATAAAACCGTAAAAAAATTCTGTTTTACATTACAGTCAAAATTGGTTTAGATGTGAGTTAGTAAACAATAGAATGTTTCAAATCTTTTACTAACATCATCATGCATCACTTGCAATCCAACACGTCTATGAAATAAAACACAGTATAAGAACCAAATACATTAAAAAATGAAGGAAATAAATTTATTTTTAAAAAATTAGAATGAATGAATAAATAAATAAATAAATATAAAAAGATATCATTCGATCAATCTATCTATCAATCTACACACACACGATCACGCGCGCGCGCACTCGCATGAGTGCACGCACACACCAGTGTTAAACTTGTTTAGGTTTTACACCCTTTTTTATCTTTTGATGTGATTTATATTTTAATAATCCCATATTGGGTTTCATGCGCTATTCATATAGATCATGCATGTGAAATTCCAAGTCAATTGAACATGTTCAATATAAATTGAAAAAGACATTGTTCTCGATTGACATGATACAAATATCGAATTGACTTTTACATGCATAACAGGTATGATTAGGTTATCAAATCAAAACAGTTGGTTTTCTAAATATATTTGTATCAGAAGTTATGGAAGGATCTCAAACTTAATAATATTTACACCAATTTACGTGGATCTCTCCTCAACTACACACAGACACACTGGCAGTTATAAATTATTTTTGTTAGAACTAGTAGCTATTTTTTGGGTTAGAATTTTGTGTTTCTTTTCTATTTTGTAATTTTTTCTATAATTTTTCTTATTGTGGTCTGTTCTCTTGGTCAGATCATTGGGTTTTTTTTCTTTTTCTGTTAATGTATCATTTGTCCACTTCATAGATTAATTTAAAGCCTGATTGATGAATCATCCTAATACTGGTTATTGAGTCTTAAAATAATTTGGCCATCCATTCATACATACATATTTATAGCTGATGTACAAAAAGACAGAATGATGTTTCAAAACCAAACAGGCACATCATCAGCACTTAAAAACAAAGAAACTGATGTCATCAGGTACACATGAGCACATCAGGGTAGTTTAAGTGCCAATCCATCCAATATGATACAAAAATATAGCAAAAAACCCAACCACTAAAAGACCACTATTACCAATCATGTTGGTTGGATAGACGGAAAACCACTCCATGAAAAATTAAAACCAATTGGATTTAAGTAAACCATTCAGCTTAGAAATTGAATGATGCATTGCGGCACGCGCAAGGAATTCGAATGCAAGGCCTCTCAAAGGAACTTAGCCTATCATTTAAGGAACTTAGCCTGCCATTTAGTGGAGTTATACCTTATTGACGAACATACATATTAACCATCTCTACCTAACGTACACAAAGACAACATTAAAGATGCACTATTACATCCCAAAATGATGCTAAAGAGATAACAATATAATAATGAATAAACCAGGCTCAAAGACAGGAAATTACAGTCAAGGGGCAAGAGTCACCTCAAGTTTATCATCAAATCAAAACTAATGATGAACATACCACCAAAAAATTTATGCTTCATATATCTAAGAGGACCCAAAAATACATTCTCTAAGCACAAATTTTTCAAAATTTTTTATATTTTTAAATTAAAAATCAGGAGAAAATAGAATTTCTCATATTGGTCTAAAGAAACAATAAATAAAATTTGAGATGATACTGCATCCATCCGATTTACCCAGATCTAGCTTAGTCTAGCTAAACAGATTCCAAAAAGAGAAACAACTTTTTCCTCAGAAACACAAATCCTCTTCAAAACTAGTGAATGAGTGCTCAATAAACAACAGATCACAACAACAAAATAAATTCTCCAATAACAAAAAACAAAACAAAACCCGACTAAATAAAAGCAAACCCAGAAGCAAATTTTTAATAGAAAATAAAATAAAATCGGAAGAAAAAGAATTCACAAATAAAAAAAGTACCAAGTGACTAGAAAGGATGACTTTAGAGCCAAGACCCATCAAATACTTGATGGTGGGAACAGCAGCTCGGACTCTCGTGTCATCGGTTATGTTAAAGTTATCATCCAATGGAACGTTCAGATCAACTCTCACAAACACCCTCTTTCCTTTCAAATCTGCTTCCTTCAAAGCTCCAACGCTCTTCTTTGTAGCCATAGTATTATCACTTCTTCAACAACAACCAAACAGAAAAGAATACTACACCCAAAAGAGATGAAGAAATACTGAATACTCAGATCAAATAAATAAATAAATAATGAAATGAGATTATTCAAAGTGAGAGGGCTTACGATAATGAGAGAGGCGGAGAGACCAATGGAAGACAGTGAAGGGTAAAGAAAGGTCGAGGAGGATTTTAATACAAGCGGAGTGAAACGGCTCACGGGAAGATTCGGAAAACGTTATTCCTTGGGCTTCAACCCGGGTTTGCTTTTCCCGTGGGCTTCTGAAGTGAAAATTGGCAGAGGCACCCGAATTGACAGCGTCTGGTTTTGCTTTTACTTTAACGTTTTTAGCTTATTATTTTTATTTTTAAATAATTTTATATTAAGTTTAATAATATTTTAAAAAAACTTAAATGAATTTTATTCTTATTTTTTTAATTAAATTGAATCAAATAAATACTTATTATTAACGGTTGATTAACTCTCATAAAATAATATTTTACCTATCATTTCATTTTGTACTCACGTAGTATTAACGTAATATTACCTTAATGCTAACATAGAGAATGAAGATATTACACAATCTTAACGTCATACCACGTAATCATATAATATGATATATTAACATACCATATAGTATAAAAATATTTAATTAATAATAGTTAATTAATAATTAATTATAAAGGCATAGTTACTCATAAAGTAAATATAAAAAATTCATGGAAAGTAATAAAAGAATAAAAATTTAATTAAATTTTTTTAATAATTTAAGAACTTTTTAAGATATTATATCTAAACATGATTGTTAATAATAGTAATTTTGGCTATTAATATATATATATATATCATTCAAGTAGGGGTGTGCATAAAATCTAAATATAAATTTTATCATAAAATCTTAAAAGAATTCATTTAGACATCTATTGTAGTAAAATTCTTAAATTTTACAAGTAAACCTTTGTATATCTTTTTACTACGTGTTTACTTGTAATTGTATGTATTGATTTTTCATTTATAAGTAAATGGACATGTTACCTACTATAAATTGGCTTATCTTGTTTTTCAACTTATAATATATTAAACTAGGAAAATATGTTTCGAATTGAAGTTATATTATTTTTATTTATTAATAAATAAAAATGTAATATATATATATATATATGAAAATGGGATAATAAGTTTAAAAGAGGTCATAAAATTTACCCATATGTATTTCTAGAATATTATAAACGCGGCAGATTAGTTGTAAAACTATATTTAAAGAGAATAAGAGAGATTAAGGCGTTCAAACGCAAGTTATGGATTTTTATCTGGACATTATAGCAACTTTTATAATTATTTATAGTAATAATAAATGCATTAATTTTCTACTTATTTCAATATTTATAATCTCAATAATTTATGGTGTATATCGTTTTAATCTTTGACATTCTAAAAAGTAATTTACTATTGTTATAACAAAATGATCATTTTGTTAATACTTATGTTAGCATAAACGAGTTTTAGTTGACAACACGTTTTTGTGTATCTTAATTGCATATTTGAAAAAAAATATTATTTAATTTTAAAATCAATTAATATTGATTCTTTAATATTAGACAATTGTTAAATTAAAATTGATTTACTTTAGTTTTTTACTTTTTTGGTAGTTGTATTTTCTTTTTTATTTTTCCTACATTAAGAGTATGCTCGGTTCATTAGAAGAAATAAAATGGGAAAAGAATAGTCATTTTAAGAGAATAGAATAAAAAGAGAATAACTATTATATCGATTGGTTCATAGGAATGGAATAAGATAGAAATTGTTATTATTACTTATTCCATTGTTTGGTTAGCAAAAATAATTTTAAAAATAGTTAAGGAATAATGACTAAATGATAAAAATACCTTTTATTAAATTTAAGATTTTTTAGTTAAAAAAATACTATGATGAGAAAAAAATACTCTTTATTAAAATTACAGAATTTATTTCATTAAAAGATAGAAATATTCTAAATAATAAAATCAAAATAAATTTTACTATAATTAAATAATATTTTTACCAAAATACAAACATATTTTTATTATAATTTAATAATATGTTGTATTATAAGATAATTAAACCTTTTATTTTACTTAAAAAATAGTTAATATTAAAAGACAAAATATATTCTTCATTAAATTTAAATAATACTAAATAATATTCTTTATTACATTTATTATATTCGAATAATAATATTAAATAATATTCTTTATAATATTTATTATAATTAAATAATATTAATATATTAACTAATATTTAAATATTTTTATTTCTTTTTTTTTGAAAATGAAGTAAAAAATTTTGTGTGTTATATGCTTTAAAGAGAGAAAGAGCGAGGAAGAGAGAGAAAAAAAAGGTTTATTATTTTTATATGAAAATTTTTGAAATTATAAAAAGGTATATTTATCTAATCTACTTCTCTTCTTATTCTCAACAATTTGGAATAACCATTAACAATGAAGACTTTGATAATAGTTATTCAGGCTTCTCTTGAAATGGCTATTCCGAAAAATAGTCATCCATTAAATCAAATGTAACTTTATCTCAAGAATGAAAATAGAGGAAGAATGGCTATTCCAATCCCCCAACCAAGCACGCCCTATAAGATCAGTATAGAGATTCTTTATACCGATATTATGGATGCACATTATGCAGCCACTAATACTGTAAATCTCCTACCTTAAATTTTTTTAAAGCTAAATGTCTTACCTTGGTTACAAACTAAGACTTTAAATATCGATGGTATTAGAAAAAATTAAAAGTATTTATAAGTCAAATTGGATTTACTAGAGCTCTCATTTTTAAAAATTGAGCCTAAATTTGACCATTTAATTATTATTTTACTTGTTTTCTTGATTGAACCTGAATAAGTTATGCGACCACAAATAAAAAAAGTGTGCATGTAAAACTAATTTATCGTTTAAAATATTCTCTTACATTAATATTATAATTTTTAAATATATTTTAAAATTAAAATTTAATATAATATAATATTTATTTAAAAAAAATCGGATGAAGTTCGAAAGAGACAAGAGCCTAAAAAACTATGCATAAGGTTGACCTGCCGGTGAGTAACCCTTCTTTTCCATATCTAGAAAGTGTCTATATGATTCTTTATTTTCTCTATTAAGACCTAAAATGTTTTCGTCATCATTTCATGTATTTTTTTTTTAAAAGGAAGTTTTCGATCTAAGAATCCAATGAATATGTTGGATAATTAATCAACGAAGATCAAAATTTTATTAAACAATTTATTGGTCCAAAGAGAATATGATGTCATTATTTAATGAGAATGAGAAATTTGTATATTAAAATTAAATTTAAACTAATTAAAGATTAATGGCAATCAAGTAACTAAACATATTAGTAAATAGATGTCTTTAAATAAAATTGTTAGTACATGGATCTTGCTTCCATCTATTATTTTTGAATAGATTTTTAATTATCATCATTCAAATATAAAAATTCCATATATCATAATTATGAGACGTGTGTGTGTGTGTATATATATATATATATATATTCGCACTTGATAGAGGGGGGATGATTCTTATGATAGAACTCATATTTAATGATTGGATATTCTATTTTCATTAAATAGATTCTATTAAGTCAACACGAATAAGTCAATCAAATCCAACATGCGTGAATCCAATCATAATTTTATATCTTAATATATTAAATTAATAACAACAGATACTCACTATTGAGTAAGAAAAACAACGGCTGCTATCTATAATTATTCCTTACTTAAAAATTGATTTCAAATATTGTCCAAGATTATAAGTGGGCAAAGCACAAAGTTAATACAATATTGAGCCCCTTAATTAAAATAAATCACTTAACATTCTTTTAAGGGCACTCAAGTACTTGATTCAAGGTTAAATATTTAAATAAGTTCTTGAACTATGCCAAAACAAATCAAATTAAGTCTCAATCTTTTTATTACGCTCAATTAAATCTTTGAATTTTTATTTTGAGTCAAATAAGTCCATTTCACTAATTGTTTACATTAGTCAGCAGTTAAGTTGGCACTTTTAAATCACGTTATCTACTACATAGTAGGTTGGCGTATCATTTTGATGACATCACTATCATGTGACATTAAATGTTACTGAATAAGAATGGTTCTTTTCCCTTTTTGCCCAACTAAATAGCATAAAATTATCGACTTAGTGATTTTAAAAAAACACCTAATTGCTTTTTTTCCCTAATTTAATAGAACAATCAATTTGTGCCTAAACAAACTAAATTATCTAATTTCGAGTTTAAACACAAAGCTTACTAAATCATTTTAGAAACAAAAAAATTATGTTAGATACAAAAAATAAAAGGTCAAATTATGTAATTAGTACTTGTGCTCTATCAAAATAGTGGATTTAATTTCTATACAATAATTTATAAAAATTGAGTTTTTATACTTTCCAAAAATGACAATGTCAGTTCAATATGTTAAAAATTTTCTGTTATCTATTAATATGGCGTTTAGCTATGTTGATTTGACTTTTTTTGTTAATGTAAAATTGAATATGATGATATGACAATAATGGTATGACATTTCAAAAGTGATGTAATAATAATGCATATATGACGTGACTAAGTACTGTCATAGATTTTATGAGAGAGGACATGGAATTTTCCAATGTGAACTAATGATCTTAAACATAGTTGAAAAAGAAACAAATCAAAACTAGGGATATATTTCTACAATTTAGGAAAAGAGTGTTGTGAAATAAAGAAAAATATAATTTTTATGCTCCAAAATTTAAAGTAGTGAAAGGAATATTGTGAAATACATAAATAATTATCGCATCATCATTAACTGATCATTATATTCAATACCACATCAGTTAAAAAAAATTCTATTTTAGCATAACTAACAAAAAAAAAATTAAATACTATTAACAATTGGATTGACATTATCAATTTTACAAAATAAGGGTCTTGATTTTTACAAATTATTATATAAGGTCTAATTTAACCACTTTATCAAAGTACATAGACTAATTATATAATTTAACCAAAATAAAAATTTTTTAGATTATTGGATGCCATTCTCTTTCTTGATAAAAAATGAAACTTCTGTTATTACTATTTATTCTACCTTAGTGATGAAATCGATGGTAGAAATTTGTCAAAATAATTAATTACTATTTCATAATACCAAGTTGGTGAATCTTACAAGGCTTGATTGTTGACACCACTAAGAAAACAATTATGCCCACCAAAATTGTGCATGA